GCATAGTTTAAATGTGTTTCATCTAATTCACCCTCAGTTGTTAGGGAAGTCAAACCAAATGACACGGGAACACACGATAGGTGTCACATATCCAGTGTTACCCAGGAAACCTAGAGATGTACCAGAAACATCAACATCTAATGAGATTGTCTCAATATGAAGGGATTAATTTCACCTGCAAAATAATTACTGAAGGCAAGACCATTTGACCAAAGGTAGGCAGTGTAGGATCTTTCTAAATATTATATGGTGCTCCTAAGAAATCTGTCCTAACTACCTGTACTGCACCCTGGGTGTATTTTTGAAACTTCAGACTACACACAGTGTCAACAGTGTACGATGTGCTCATGTCACAGAGGTAGTAGGGCTGAAACATAAGCCTAGTGAGAAACAAAGCAACTGGGAGGAAAAGCATCCATAGTGGTGAAGAAATTAAACTTTTCTATTCTACCCACCTGTTGCTGAAGAAGACTATAAACTGCATTGTGTGCTCAACCAGTGTTATGATCTGTAGACTCCCAAACCAGTCTTTATTAGCCACCATCAAGGTTCATGTTGTAGCATTACAGATCAGGATCCTCTCAAAAGATAATGCTGCAGAGCCTCATGTGAATTTAACTGTGTTCCCAAGCAAAGCCACTCCCCTGAGAGGTCTCCACAAGAATCTATGCCACCCCTTGGGCTTTCTATAGCTTCAGACCCAATAGATCTCAATAGCTTTTTAGAAATTTAAATCTACTTATGTTTTAGGAGGCTTTATTTACTACTGTTAAGCTCTTATGGTACATCAACTTTATATTTCAGGTGAAAATTGGATTTTATTTGCTGCTGGAAGGGAAAGAAATCAGTTTTCAACACTGAACAGTGTAAGGCAGCATTTGTGCTATATTGCTCCCTGTAGGTGAGCAGAAATGCTTTTAGCATTGTGTTCTTTAATTTTGCAACCACTATGACATATGCAACTGGAGCACAGAAAGCACTCACAGGTGTTCTAGTCATGCTGGAAAACAAACTCCTCAAAACAATGTCCAGAGCAGTTGAAAAGCTATTTAATAAACACTTCCTAATCAATGCTCTGGAACTGAGACCATAGTCCAATGCACACTTTCCTAGGAGTAAGTCTCATTGCATTCAATAAAAGCATTTTATATCTGTAAAAAGTTTTTCTTTTTAAAAGACCTGAACAAAGCCTATTGCTTTATATGTAATAAATTTATGTCCTGAGGCAACTTTCAGGGAATGTTATTAGGATAAAACTATGACTGATTGAGAAACAGGGGTTGTGTACTGGCTGCACTTTTATCACCTCCTTTTGCCACTACAATTGGCACTCTGATCAACTGACCATGGTCAAACACTTTAATTTATTTCATAAAACCCTACATTTCACCATGTAGGTGGTAATTTATATTTTCAATTTCATTATAGCTTAATTCTGTAAGAAAAGGTAGGGGTGAGGGCTCTGTGTTCTCTAGTCCTGTAAGCAATCAGGGATACATCTAAAAGCACAGTATTATCTTCTTTTATCGGCCACCTACTATAATGAAAGCTACTCGTAACTGGAACAAGAACACAAACAGTAACTGGTGCGAAGATCACCCATGACTTTAATTGTTTTACTATTTGGCTTGTTATTCAATTGTTTTTAATGGTGTTTGTTAGCCATCAAGAGCAGTATTTTTAAGTGAAAGGTGAGAAAAAAATATTATAAGCAATAACAATTCCGTCTTACTTGCTGTAAGAACCAAGAGGCACTACCTCCACATGACTTGGCTACAAGCTTCACAACAGACTTTTAGAGGACTGAATTTGAGCCTGGAAAAATAACCACTGTGAAAAAAATGAAGGCACTGGCTGAAGTGAAGATATACACAATTAAGCTATGCAAGGAATATTAAATTAAGAACTAAGAAAGCCTTTATCATTACAGTCATTAATTAATATCCTTATTGCAAATCTAACAAAATCCAAAATCTTTTTAAAAACTTAATTGACAACATCTGACCAGTCAATTGATCTGATCCTTTTTCCATATGTCAAATGGTCAACTTTTTCCAAAATATTCAGGAATTCAACCTCAGAATGTGACCCCAGCAAAAATTCTTGCAGTTATTCTATCATGTGCACTGGGAAATTCTTTAAAATTATTTAATATCTATCTTAACTTCCCTTTTTAACAACCCAAACCATGACCATAAAATAATCTTATTTCAGGAAGTGGCGAGACACAAAAAAGGCATGTATTTCATTGTTTATAGGCAGAAGAAAGAACTATTTCTATGTGAATTGAAAAATTCTATGTAGCCCCAAAATTCAGCATGGATTTCTAGATGCTGATAATCTCTTAAACAATCCACTCTCAGAGTAAACTGGGTTAATTCCACTCAGTTCCCACTAAAATCAGTGTGACATAAAATTCAGTTGTGACTAATTGTTCAATAAATTTTAAAAATGCTTAAATTCAACTGACTTAATCCAACTGTAAGGGAAATTAATCGAGCTTATTGCAAGAAATAATCAAGGCTAAAAAAATTCACACACTAAAGGACTGCATACTGGTAATAAAGTTGCCACTTTATTATAAGGAAAGTTTTGAATTCAAAACATGTTTTTGAACTTTTGGCTTCCTATGTAAAGAACAGTAAAAGGGTTCTTGCACAGCTCCTGTACACACTCATTGCACTAAAGTTGGACAGTCCTCTGTGGTTAAGAAGGGATGGAATAGAGCTACATAAGCTAACACAAAAAATAAGGCTGCTGTGGATCAGAGTCAATTGCTCTGCACTAAGGTCTCCAATCCTATTCCATGGCATTTGCAAAGGGAAGCTGGCTTTGCATTTCAATTGGTGTGTGTATATGTGCACAAAAAGACTAAATAATTCAAGGGAATCTAGTGCAGCGGCACCACTATCATCCTTCCCACCCCCTCTGCAGCATTATTTTATGTGTCATCCAATGACTGCCATGCCTAATTCTAGCATCATGCCAGCACAATAAGACAGTAGATACTGAATGCAGTGTTCACTGGACCAGAAGAACAGAAATAAGAAAGGGGGAGGAATGGGGGAGAGGAAGAGAAGAGGAAACCCTAGAAAAGAAATTAAAAATGCAGACCGTGCAAATACAAACCAGGTCATGGCTGCATAGCTAATTTGGGCCAACTGCTGTGGAAGAAAAAACGTCGAACACCCCAAGTTGTGTAAATTTCTGTGAACATCTCAACACACACACAAATACACACACACAAACACTAATCTACTACACAGGAAAGCAAATATATGTGTGTGTACATATATATAGATAGATATATAGCTTCTTTCCTAACACTACAGCTTTTTGAAAAGCATTCATGAATGCAGTGGGATTCGCGATAGTCTAAAGCCAGTAGTTTCTAGACAAAGCATTAACAGGGCTGGATTAACTTTACTGCTATATTGAGCACAGCCAAAGTTGTGCAGAGTAATGACATCAGACTGAGCTTTTGTGGAAACCAAGCAACATCAGAACATGCTCTGCATTTTTTAAACTAAGGCTAAGGAAGAAGTGTGTCCTGAGTGATGCTGACCACTTCAAGAGCACACAAACTGAACTTGTCTAATGCTAGCAATGAGTGCCATCTTGTCCCACCATTTTAACACTAATGCAAGGGGAAAAAATCTCAGTTTCCTCAGTGCTAACCCCAGAGGGAAGTCTCTTTGTAGCAATGAATAAAATGGAGAAGAGCACCTGACTCAGGGATCTATAGATTCCAAAATCCTCAAGAAAGATTCTAGAACGCAATCAACACAATATCCAAAAGAGCTGGTAAACAGATACACTATCCCAATATGTGTATAGAACAGACACCCTGAAGGACTGTATGCGGCCTCCTGATCGAAGAGTAGCTCAGTATTAGGGAGCACCTGTTCACCCTCTTAACAGTTACTTCATGGTCTTCACCCATCTTGGACAACATGGACAGCAGGTGCTTAACAGTCATAAATGCCATGGCTTCCTACAATATGCTCACACTCACGTCATAAATCTACACAAACTGCAAAAGTATAAAGACAGCAACGATGGGAGAGGGCAAGAGCTAGGCAAATCCAACACTGCCCAGAAACTGTGGGCATAAGAACAGGAGAGATGATGGCCAAGGACCTCTATGGACTTTCTGAGTATAAGAAATGGTGTGGCACACAATTTTCAAAATGGAATATTGTTTGTTTGGAAACAGCCTTTAATCCAGCCCTGAAAATGGTAGGGAGAGGGGGTTGTTTTGTTTTGATTTCCACAGCCTTTTCCATAACATTTCATACACATTCATCTTATTTTTCTTTAAACGGCTACTCCAAAAAGATTTCTAGCCAAATGTAGATATTAAATCTCAAAGAAGTACTTAGGCAGCAGAAACCACCACTGCACGTTGAAGAGAAAACATACAGAGATGTGGCATGAGGAGAGAGTTCAAAAACCTGAGATGCTTAAAAGGAAAAGCAAGTTGGAAAGCAGGCAAAATGCAACTCTTCCCTTTCCTTTCTGTAGCCTTTCATCAGGAAATTCAGAAAGAAAAAATATATGCCAATGTTTTTACTATGAGCACAGGTAGCTTTTCAAGAAGAATGCAGACTATTTATACTGAATTCTTCCTAATGCTGCCATTTTTTTCCTGCAATCTCCCTCCTTGTGCCAAGCAAAATCTAAGATAAGGAAAACAAATATATATTTTACTCCTAAATTTCCACTAAATTCACCAATTTTAAAAATGTGTGTTCAATACTTGACAAAATCATTGATGTACTAACTGTTAGGACCTTAATTTATTAAAGTGGGTGATAGATTTTTTAAAATGTTTCTTAGACAGATTAGTTACCTGTTTTGCTTTGCCATTAATGTAATACATGCAAATACATATGCTCCTCAACTGCTTAATCTGAATTTGGCTACTGGAGCTGTGTTTGCATCAAAGAACAGGTAAGCCCTACCTGTTGGGGGCTTGAGAGTCAAAAGTGGTTTCTTACCGATTCTATTGGCTTATCTAAAGACGCCTGCTCAATCTCCAAGTGGCCTTCTTCATACTGATCAAAGTGATTACCCTGGAAGAAAAGAAACATACATTATTTCTCTCAAGGAATGCAAGCAGCTCTGCATAATTTATAATTAGAAGACTCAAACAAAAGCAAAAAAAGCAAAGCGTGCTGCTTATATACTGCCCCATAGTACTTCAAGCACTCTCTGGGCGGTTTACAATTATGCAGGCTACACATTGCCCCCCCAGCGAGCTGGGTACTCGTTTTACCGACCTCGGAAGGATAGAAGGCTGAGTCAACCTTGAGCCGGCTACCTGCGATTTGACCCCCAGGTCGTGAGCACAGTTTTGGCTGCAGTACAGCGATTTAACCACTGCGCCACGAGGCTAGTTAAAGCCCATAAATAAAGTCTATGGTACAGAACTCATTCTCCCACTTGATCATGTTACACTTTTATACCTGCTTCCCATTCTTAGGATTTTTTATTTTCAGATGAAAAGAAATGGGCACTCCCAATTTTTCAGGTATCACTCCAGAGCCTTAATATAAGCATATTACTGGCCTCTAACTCTCCATTACATCAGTCCCAAGCCAGAAACCATCCAAATTTACAAGTTTTTCAAGAGCATTTTTAGTGGCTGTTCAATGTCCCACAATTACTTAGGGATATCAAGCCATCCAACAGGGCAAAACAGAGATGTTACTATGTAGCTAAAGGTATGCTACATCCTCAGTGTAATAAAGTTGTCATCAACAGGTGAACTTTTAAGAGCGCTGTTAAGAGCAAATCACACAGTCATCTCATGTTTGCCCTAAGCCATGAGATCACCTATTCTCAACCACCATATCATTTCCCAATCCCAAACTTGCCAGCTCTTGATCAAAGCTGACATATATATCCAACACCTGGAAATTAAAACTGAATAAAAGTGCAAACTTGTGGCCTAAATCTTATTGGTTATTTACACTAAGATAACTGTGATGGCATAAACTGCAACAGCAAACAAGCTCTTGTTAGCACCCTGTTTTCCCAAAAATAAGACCTAACCTAAAAATAAGCCCTAGTATGATTTTTCAGGATGCTCGTAATATAAGTCCTACCCCCAAAATAAGCCCTAGTTAAGTGAAACCCCGCCCTCTACCATTGTGCATTAGCCAGAAGAAGATGATATGACTGTATGTAAATAAATGTACATTGTTGTACCTTTAAAAAAACAATAAAACATCCCCTGCTGTCCAGAGTAGTCCTTTGGTCTAGATGGGCGGGGTATAAATCTAATAAAATAAATAAATAAACCTAATGCTTTTTTGGAGCAAAAATTAATATAAGATCCTGTCTTATTTTCGGGGAAACATGGTACTCCTCAGTGTAAGTCAATCGCATGGCTTGGTGCACAATAAGGAATGTAAGTGGGAACTCATAAACTAGCAGCAGTTCGCCACTATGATATATAGCACTGCACAGATGCTGACGTAACTAATAGAATTCTGGGCTATATTTTAATTTCACTTCATTCAACCCCGCAGGTGGACACTCACAACATAGCAGTGTTTTGTTTTGAAGCTTCCATCAGCCTTAGCCAGAGGGTAAGCTGCCTTAGGTCCTTCTTAAAGAGGAAGGCGGACTGGAAATGTCTTAAATAAATAAAATAAATAAATAGGCAATGGCAAGCAATTATGGGAACCATAAGTTCAAAAAAAGAGGCAACAGTTCCTCACTCATGGTTTACAAAATGTCTGAGTTTACTTCACAATGATTCTGTTACAAATAAGTGATGACAGCCACTTGAACATTTAGTAGATGTATGTGATGGGAGGGGTCTCCGAGCTCTTTATGTGTTAGGCTAATACATATGCATACATGATTCTGCTTATATTATACCAATCACATGACTCCATGAAATGACATAAAAACACTGGAGTACATATGTTTAATATTGAAGGTGGCCATGCTGCCTGAGGAATTCTGGAAGTTGTAGTCCAAAAACATAAATATCCACACCTTACATCACCAAGCATATTGACTTCACCAAAAGGAAAGAAAGACCCAGGGGGTAGATCAGGTGAGTGAGTTCCCAGAAGTTTGGTGAAGCATGTAGAATCTTAAGGTACTTAACAGAGTGGTATGGGTTTTCTGAAAAACTGTAGATTGATTTTTTTTTCTACTGCTCTAAAGCACTGGAGATCCGATTTAGCATGTCTAACCTGCATCTGGTAAACAAAACCAGAAAAACATACCATGTTAATTTTGAATAGTGTACACCTGTCTAACTCCCCCTCCTCCCAAAAACTCAGAAGTATGGCTTGAACGTTCTCACCTAATAATGACCAGGAGAACAGCCCAAAAACTCAGAAGTATGGCTTGAACGTTAATCTCACCTAATAATGACCAGGAGAAGAGCTACCTCCAGAATGCCCATTGTATGCAACAGCCTTCCACAAGGTTGTTGTTGTTCTGACTTACCATATTTTCCATTTATAAGCCCCCCCCCAATTTTATAACCCCCAAATTAAGAAAACTTATCTTTGAGGATACAGCCTCTGAGCTCAGAATGTCGGACATTTTGTCCCTGTTGAATCTTAAGCCTACAGGCTCCGCCTCCAAGGAGGTGTATTCCAATTGGTTTGTTCAGGATCAGCTGATGTCGGTTCCATAAGGCTCATGATTGGAGGAAGCTAAGTCTCCTGATTGTAGGAAACTAAGCCTTGTGGCTAAAGCAAAACTGTTTAGTGAGGCAAGGTATGTGCCAGTTTGTTCTCTCTTCAGCTATCTCAGCTTACTTCTGTGTAAAAAAACACCCCTTAATTTTTAGGGTAATGATTTTAGTAAAAACTGTGTTTTATAGATGGAAAAATACGGTACATACTGCCCCATAGTGCTAAAGCACTAACAGCTTTTGCACATGCTAAATACCCTTTTTGTTCACTCTGACATGTGGTGACTTCTAATGTCACCAGTCAAGGTTTTTATTTGTTTTTAATCACTGTCAGAGTCTCAAGACTTTATTGAATTTGTTGTATACTGCATTTGTGAAATAATTACTTCTTGGCACAGCTCAATGGGCTGGAGCACATGGTTATAGTGGGACACTCACACGCTAGTGAGGTTGCTATTCTGGATAGCATCTTCGTCAACGATTGCATCTAAAATCTAGTATGTCTGGGAATCCAACAAAAAGTAAAATGGCTCAGAGAATGAAGAATTTACAACTGGGAAAATATGATAGGAAGTAATGGCTGAAAGCTGAGCTGAATAAATTGGAGGCTGGCAACAGCAGCGATCTATGTATTACAGACTTGCTCAAGCTCAATATATTAAAACAATTTATAATCAGTGAAACTAGAAAAAAAATCTGAGCAAAAAACCAGATATCTCATATTTTGCATTGTAATCTGGAACCTATGAGCAAATTCTGCTTGCATATACTGGCATTTCAGAGAAATTACCAGCAAAATAAGAGCCAGGGAGGGGGAAAGCTTCAATGAAAGCAAGAAAGAAAACAGAAGCAATGCATTTCCCACATACAGTACTAATATGTATAGGCTAGAGATTTTGTATACAGTATCTTGGTTCAATCATCAATCCAAATGGAGATAGCAGCTAAGACTGAGATTAGGAAGGGCAGCAGTGAAGGAATTAGAAAAGATCAAGCATGGCACTGGAGATCAAGACCTGGAGAAGAGCTTTGTGAATACCTCAGACTGTCAGAAAGACAAACAGGTGGGTCCTAGATCAAGTCAGACTTGAACGATCTCTGGAGGCAAAAATGTTGAAACTACTTTGGGCACATCATAAGAAGATAAAATTCTCTGGAAAAGACAATAATCCTGGGAAAGATAGAAGACAGCAGGAAACAAGGAAAACCAAATATAAGATGAACTGACGCCCCAAAGGAAGCCACAGGCTTGAGTTTACAAGAGCTGAGCAGGGCTGTTGAAGGCATGACATTTTGGAGATAGCTCATTCATAGTCGTCAAGAGTCGACTTGACAGCACATGTGTACAAAATTAATGTGTACAGAATTAATAAACACATGGTAAATTATTCTCAACCAAAAGAAGGACAACATGTCTAATCATGTGAAGATACTGTGCAAATATGAGGACCACAACACACATACTGAATGCAGCTTTAATTCACAGGAAGGGACGGAAAAATTAAAATCACAAACATCTAGCTACTAAAGTTGCCACTTTCTTACCAAACTGTCAAGGCTAACAAGAAGGACAGAAAGATAGCAAGACAGAAAGAAACTTAGAATTTCACATTCTGGCTTTTTGATAATTTACAATAGAAAAAGTAGTTCTTTAACTGTAAAGTACTTAACACAACAGCCTCCTTTTTACTAAACAAAAGTTATGAATATGCAGGAAAAGGGGGCCTGAGAGATTTAAAAAATGGAAGTGGGCCCTATCAAGAAAAAAGGAGCAAATGATTTTACTAAGTCCTCTCTTCTTCCAAGGAAGAGGTCTCATGTCAGTTAAGTGCAAAATTTGGTCCACCTCTATGCAACCTACTCATAGTTTTTCACTCTATCTACATTCGATTTGTGACTGTCAAACATTGTGTTATATGATTTGTTACAATTATTTGTTTTTTATATCTCAGTGTCTTCCCAGTTGTCCCCCCAAATTCCAGACATCTTCCAAACATTCAAACCATTCATGTATGTATTTTAGTATATAATATTGGCTACTACCATAATATTACTTTCATAGTGTACAATATTCTCAAGATCTTTTAATAACATACTTAATAAAAGTAATTTCAGATCTGTGCTGCAGGTGTTGAACGCGGAGATCAAAAGGTCTTTAGCCATACTCCTGATCCCTCAAATCAAAAAGACTAAAATGACTTGACCTGTATTTTGCGATTTTTTAAAAAAAAGGTTTAACAAAGCTCAACAAATGTCTTCTTTTCTACAAATACAGGAAAAGGTGATACCTTTTTTAACCACTAAAAAAATTACACAAAAGAAAAAATAAACAGCAAGATTTCTATGATAATTCATCTTCCTCAGGCTGTGCACCAAGTTCTTGAGCGTAGTTCCAAAATTATATGCTTT